TTAAAAAAAAAAAAAAAAAAAAAGAACACATCCCTGTCATTAAGAGATGCATCACCATACATATGTAAGAAACATAGTCATGTGTTCTACACAGAGAATTAACATGCGGTGATGTGACAGGTACACTAGATTAGGTTGCTGGGGAGACCAATTAAGAAGGTGACATTTGCTAAAATGGAAAAAACAAGAGGACTCCATTGTTTGAAAATCAGGACAAGGTGTTTCACACAGAACAACAGGAACAAACAGAGCACCGGGGCAGCTGATAAAGGAAAGAATGCTAGGAAATGGAGAAGGAGCTGCTGTATATGGGTTTTGCAAGCAACAGAAATGGTTTGCCTTTTATATGAAATACAGTGGAAAGATACTGGAGAGTTTGAAGCAAGAGGAAGACGATCTAATTTATGCTTAAGAAAAGAAAACTCTGGCTGCTATGTGGAGGATGGATTACAGGGAAGTCAAGAGTAAAAAGAGACCAGTTAAGAGGCTGTTTCAGTGCTTGGACTAGTATAGTAATAATGAAACTGGAGAGAAGTGAATAGACTCAGGACACATTTTGGAGGTGGAGTAAACAGGACTTGTTGATGGATTAGATAGGGAGGGCATGGAAAAAAAAAAAAGAAAGAAAGAAGCTAACTAGGTGGATGCTGATGGTACAATTTACCAAAATGAGGAAGACTGGAGAGGAACAGATATGGGGGTATTAATTAAGAGTTATTTATTTGCAATGTTAAGTTCAAAAGGCCTATTTGTTCAGTTTGAAAGGCCTATATGAAATCCATGTGAAGATATCCAGTGTGCAGCTGGATACAGAAATTAAGAATTTCAGGGAGAGACCATTTCTGGAGTAAGAGATTTGGAAGTCATAACAATAGATGGTTATTTAAAGACATAATGGGATTAAGTCACTTAGAGAAATGTATCTGAAATTAATCCGACTATAACCACCATCTGAGATTTTTAATTAAAATACAATTTCCATCCTCCAATGAAGATTTTTCATCATAAGATGGCAGTAGAGCCTAGGAAACACATTTTAAAGAACCATCCCAAAAATATAATTCAGGTGAATCTGGGGAGATACTACATTACATTATGCTGAATTTTTTTTTTTTTTTAAATAATGATCAGTAAGGGGATCTTAACCCTTGATTTGGTGTTGTTAGCACCATGCTCTCCCAAGTGAGCAAACTGGCCATCCCTATATAGGGATCCGAACCTGTGGCCTTGGTGTTATCAGCACCACATTCTCTCAAGTGAGCCATGGGCCGGCCCTCATTATGCTGAATATTAAAGTAGGTTCAGGTGCCTCAAGTCTATCCATTTAATATAAATCTACTTGTGTTCACAGAAACACAGGAGGCTAATAATACTTAGAAGGATTTTTGTGAGCACTAAATTAGAATACATGCAAAGCACCCAGTACATAGTAAGTATTCAACAAATGCTGCACAATCAGGCAAGCAATGTAGCCAGCTGCCCAGGGTCCTGAGATGGGCCCATGGGCCTCAGCCCTCTCTCCCTACAACATCATCTTTGAATGTACTTATTAGCCAAGTGTGTTTCTTTGAGGTGTGTGACTTATCTACTCATGTCCTTCACCAAATTTCTGATTAGACTTTTCTAATTCATTTTTAAGAGTTCTTTTTGCATTAAGGATGTAAATCTTTTGAGTGTTAAATTTGTTCCTTATCAACTGACTTCATATTTAATTTGTGTTTTCCCTCATTTCTGTGTTGAGAAATTTTCTATGTAAACATTGAAGAAAAAAATTATATCTCAATGAAAACAAAACAAAACAAATGTTAGATCAATTTTCCGTTCCATCAGTGCTTGAAGGGAGCTTGGTAAGGAAGGCAGTGTGGTGTAGTAGAAATAACATGGGTCCTGTAGTCAGACAAACCTGGGTTCAAAGCATAGCCCATACACTTAACTTCTGTTTGACCTTGGGCAAGTTAGTTCATCTAACTAAGCCTCAGTTTCTTCATCCTGCCTCACAATGATGCTGTGAGGATTAAATAGAATCATGTATATAAAGTGTTTAGGATTAAATAAGTTGTATAACAGTCACACAATGAATCCTACGTAGCAGTCAAAGTAAATATTATACATACACTAACACGGAGGAACCTCAAACACGAAAGAAGTCAACATAGAAAAATACATATTGAATAATTACATTTAAATAAAGGTTCAACATTAATCAAAATGAAGTAAGACATTGTTTAGGGAAATGTACATATGTGGTAAAAGTATAGAGAAAAAACCTGATCACGAAGTTCTGAAATAATGTTTACCTCTATGGAGGAGAGAGAAGGGCAAGTGATTGTTTAGGGGCTTCTAAAGTACTGATAATCTAATTCTTAAGCTGAATGGTGGATATGGGGCTTTATTTAAAATTTATTGTTAAAACATTTTTTGTCTGATGTAAAGAAGTTAACTCAAAAATGTTAATGATATTTAGAAATAATTAAAACTAACACACTCTTTCATATAAGTCTAAGTGCCTAAAGGATTCACCACATTTATCCAACAGAATCAAGACTTAACCCAGACCTTCTGGCTCCCATCCATGCAGTGATGATACCATCTTATATTTTATTGCATTAATAAACATTATTATGAAAAAACTGAAATAAATTTTATGAGTTTACTTACCACTCTGATAGTACTTAGAATCATGTGTCCACCTGAAGCCAGTGCAGAGGCCGAAGTCAGTCAATTTAATATGTCCATCTCGATCAATCAAAATGTTATCAGGTTTAATATCTCTATGAATAAAACCCATTTTATGAACACTTTCGACAGCACAGGTAAGTTCTGCTATGTAGAATCGTGCCAGGTTTTCTGGAAAGATGCCCATTCTAATTAACAGGCTCATCATATCACCCCCAGGAATGTAATCCATTACAAAGTATAGATTGTCTTTGTCTTGGAAGGAATAATATAGACGAACTACCCATTCATTGTCAGCTTCAGCCAGGATATCTCTCTCAGCTTTAACATGAGCAACTTGATTTCGAAGCAGAACATCTTTCTTTCTAAGAGTTTTTGTTGCATACAAAGCCTTAGTATCAACTTTTCTTGCTAGACAGACTTCACCAAATGCTCCTATTCCTAGTGTCTTTATCTTCACAAACATAGACTTGTCCATTTTAGCCCTTTTAAGACGGATGTAATTAGACTCTTTTTGGCAAAGCATCTTTCTCATTTGATCCTGGGCATCTTGAGATAATCCAACCTAGGCAAATAAACTAGATGTTAAAAGAGGAATTATATTCTTCAATAGTGAATATTAAGAAATAGTATGGAAAAATTTCAGGCATATATTTAAAGGTTAATTGCATAATTTTTAATAAAGCATGTTAGAAATCAAGAATATACTTCAGAGAAAATTAATCATCAAAAATGCAGCTTAAAAGATAGTTAACAAGATAAACAAGGTGAGTATGTATGTAAATTCAGTTGTGGAGAGCAAGGAGAAGAGTATACCAACAGTCAGCTTTCTATTCTTCGCTAATGCAATAAACAAATGTCTGTTAGCATGCATTCTCATCTATCTCTCCATGCATATTCATCCCAAATCGTAGGATTAGATTGCCTTCCTTATATGCTTCTCCTTGTACAATGACTAGACCTCAAATATTTTTCCTCCCATCTTCTCCTTCATGAAAAGAAATTCTTCTACTCCAGGCTTATTTATTCTCAAAAATTGATGTATGAAGAAAAAACCTCTAGTTTACCAATCCTTTTCCCATTCTCAATAAATACGTATTTGTCATTAATAGTCTTTTATGTTTCTCAGGGCATTAGATAGGGTAAGGGTGGACTCGCAGTCCACCACTAACACCAAATGCAAAGGGTTTCTCTTACCTCATGTAAAAGGGACAACCTATTTGGTTACAAGGTCTCTTAGGTATTTTGGAATATTTCAAAGAATAATCAGTGTGACTTATAAAGATATCAAAAGACAGATAAAAACAAAAACCAACTTCTAATTAGATATGGGATACCTGGACTAAGATGGGAAAAACAGTTTCTACTGGCTAATTAATAAAGAACTAATTAAATTGTTTAAATAGAAAAGGAATTCAATTGAAAAGTAGGGTCTAATTCTAGAAATGCAAGACTAATTAAAATATAGCAACCTCATGCTTCTGTTAGGATGCACATTTGCATGCAAAATCTTTTGAGAAGGGTGGCAGGCCAGGCTTAGTATAGAACTGTTTCTCTTAAAATCTTACTTGCCTACACAGTAATGGAGGCTACAGAAGTCAGCAAAGCTTCCAACACCATAAAAGTTTAAATCAGCTATTAGTGAAAGTGAAGAGGAAAAAGGAAAAATAAACTAAGAAAATACATATAGACAGACTTTAGTAAGAAATCCTAAGAACTAAAATATGGATAAGTCATAGAGATTATCATGATATTTCTCATTTAACAAGTTTCACTTTATAGCAGGAATAACAATACTGTAAAATCAGATTTGGAAAAATCATTTTATTTATTTTTTTGGTGCTAGCTGGTATGGGGATGCGAACTCTTGACTTTGGTGTTATAACTCTGTGCTCTAACTAACTGAGCTAACCAGCCAGTTGGAAAAATCATTTTAAAAGAATGGCTCTCTCAAGTATGTGAAGAAGTTTAATCACAAATTTAAGCCTCTTGGATTTTTGAGTAACAGATGTGAGATTAGGAGTCAAATCTTTGAACTCTAAGTGCTTTATAAAAACAATAATGATAATGATAGTACTACCATAATATCTAGTGAAAAGATCTATATGGAATCACAATACACATTAATCTAAAGTGTTTACTTATTCTGATCTCTTTTTGAGTATAGTTTGAGTTAATAATTTCAGCACATTTTTCTCCAATACATTATAAAAATGAAATAAGGGAGAAATAACCAAAATGAGACTTCTCTAACACTTTCTAATAAAACCTAAGTGATAAATGAATCCACAAACCCAAACTTACTGCAAGTAAAAAGAAATGCTTCATAAGTGTATCAAGAGATGGGACTCAGATTTCTAACTTATTTTTAAATGTTATAAGAGAATACGTAAAACCTAGAAAACAACACTTGCTCCAATTTCCATATAAAGAAATCATGTACACCTAAACTGTATACTGCAAATTATTTTTTTCTTAATTTACATAATAACTTTATTATAAGGAAATTCTGAGTAAATCCTGAAATACTAAAGTGCTATAATCAAAAGTATTTTAATATTTACTCACTTTTAAGTAATTTTTAATATATTGTATTTAGCTATAAGAAAAAAAAAATACCACAGAGCAATATTCTAAAACAAACACCAAGCAAACAGATTAACCAGTATAAAAATGGACATTTTAAAAGGTTTTACCCGCATCATTTCATTCTCTAATTGTTTTTTACGATGTAGACGTTGCTGATGAGATTTCAGTACATTTTCTACGTGTTGCTCCATAAAGAATTTAAACGCCTGAGGAGAATAACTTTGAATACGAGATTCCCTTCGCTCTTCATCTTTCTTATTTTTCCTAACAGTGATGGGTGAAGTTGTAATCTGTTTCTTTTCTTTATCCCCACTATCAACATTTTCATAACTTTTTTCACCCTCATCTTCCTTGGGCAAGCTAGGCTGATCTTCTCTGCTAGATTTATTTATTGATTCATATGAAAGAACAGATGGGTTTTGGTGTAGCAGATGTTTTGGATAAGGTGGTGGTGGACCTTGATAGTTTGGAGATTCAGCAACAGGTGGCATCACAGTCATATTTGAAGTGGTACCCTCAGAAAAAGGACTGGATTGAACAGTTTGAATTGGTGGTGGTATCCAAGAAGGGTGTGTAGGTGCTAAAGCAGTCTGTAGCTCTGGTTTTAATACACGCATGCTTTTCACAGGCTGTTGAATAGGAGCTGGTGTAATCGCAGTGACTGTTGTAGCTGAGGGCTGAGAATTAGCAGAATGATTTGCTCTATTTCCTAATGGGTTATTAAAAGAATTTGACCTCACTGGTATGTTAGATTGCCATGTAGGGATTTCATGCCCACTGCTCAGGGATGACTGGGCTGGAGCAGATGATGACTGAGGCCAAGTTGTTTGTAGTCCAGGTACACTAACATTATAAAGTTCCATGTTGTGACTGTTTCTATTTGGCACCATCATAGACTGAGGAATACTTCCATTTGTATATGATGAAGGAGAAGCAGATCCCCCTGTTTGTAAAGCAGAAGGGCTTTGTCCATTAGTTGGGGTCAGAGGATATGGAGGGGGAGGCTGCCGATTCGCAGCACCAGCAGGGACATTTTGGTGTATCATGAAATCAGTTTGACCACTACCATTCTGAATTCCAGGTCTCCCTGGTGGAAAGTTAAATTTGCTAGAACTCTGCATGATGATTGGTTGTCTGCCAACAGGAACAGAACTAATGCCTCTCTGTCCCTGATTAGCAGGATTCATGGAAGAAGTGTTAAGAGGTGGTGGAGGATAGCCCTCCTGCCATGCCCCAGGTGGAACAGGAGAAATTCGGGAGATTACATATTCCATGTTCCCAGAATAGCGCTTTGTTTGAGAGTTTGGCTCCCATGAAGGGGGAGGTGGAGTTGTACCTCTTGGAGGGGGAGTCTGGCCTCTTGGAGGTGGTGGAGGAGTGACACTCCTTACTTGAGGTGGTGGTGGTGGGTTCACTCTCTGTCCATTGCTAGGGTGAGCTTGAGCAAATGCTGTTACACCAGATCCAGACAAAGGTCTTCCTACATCTGTCTGCGAGTTGGGACTTTCAGAACGATAGGCCACACTTTCTCCTAGTGGTGGACCATGTCTCTGAGGAACTAAGGATTCTTTAGAACCTTTCCAGCTCTGTTTGCGGTTAACTGGTTGTTGCACACTCCCTATGGTCATAAAAGAGAGAGAAAAAAAATGTTTTTAATCTCTTATTGTTGAAAAATTTAGCTTGGAATTCTGATCCTACTAAATGATACTCAATTCTCTTCCAAGAATTGTAAAAATAGGAATAAGTTCAAGAGATCTACTGTACAACATGGTGATTATAGTTAAAAACAATGTATTGTGTTCTTGAAAATTCTGGAAGGGGAGGACAAGGAAAGGTTGGTAGACCAGTACAAAGTTACAAAGTTACCTTTAGATAGGAAGAATAAGTTCTGGCCTACTACAGTGACAATAGCTAATAATATCTTATTGAATATTTCAAAATAGCCAGAAAAGAGGATATTGAATGTTATAACCACAAAGAAATGATAAATTTTTAGGCAACAGATATGCTAACTATTCTGATTAGATCATTATACACAACAAACATGTACAATGAAAAAAAAATTAAGTATGTGAGGTAATACACATGTTAATTAGCTTGATTTAGCCAAAAATAAAAAAAAAAAAAAGAATTATAAAAAAATTTCAGTAAGTGACTTCATTTTACATTTTAAAATTGTATTTATTTTTAGCTAGATAATATATTCTCCTGGCTCAAAATCCACAAAGTACAAAATGATACCTATCTTTGTCCATTACCTTCAAAGAAGAAAACGGGTTGGTTAATCAATGTCATGAATAAGGTATTTTAGAAATATACAATACAAGTTAGTAGTATACTTTCTATTTATATTATTGTGCCTGGCTGTTTTCATTTAAAAAAATGAGGATTCCATATCAGCATACAAAGTGTTTCCTAACTTTTTAAAAATGTTATCATGGTATTTCACTGTATGGATGTACCCTAATTTATTTAATCAGTTCCCCTGTTAATGGACATTTAGGTTATTTCCAGTCTTTTGCTTTACATACACAAAAATGCAGTAATGGAAAATTTTGTACATATTATTTCGTATTTATGCATGTATATCTGTATATAAATTATCAGAGGTGGCATTTAGCCAAAGGATGTGTCTATTTGTAATTTTGACAGATACAACTAGTAATTTTAAATATATTTTAATATGGTTCCTTAAACAGAAAAAGACTGAAGGGGATAACTAGCTGAACACAAAATAAGGTATAGATTTTACAAAGTCTGTCTTTAAGGAAATTTCCAAATAAATAAAACAAGCCAGAAAATATACAATACTAAATAAATAAATAAATAGCCTGGCCACTTGGAAAAAATATATAACATTAAAAAAATACATTAAATATATTGGCATAAAAGAGGATATACATATATAAATATGCATTTCAGAAGGATTAAAGATTTAAATATTAAAGAAGAAACCATACAAGCACTAGAAAAAACAAATCAATTATATTGGGGGTACCTCTTTCGTACGTTTTGGGAAACTCTTCCCAAGCATGACAAAGGGAGAGATCTAAATATATAAAACAGTTATCATCATTAAAAACAAAACGAACAAGAAACACCCACAAATTTGAAAAGTCAAAAAAAATTAATAACACATGAAAAAAAGTGGCAAATGTTCAGAATGTCCAGTTTAATGCTCCATTTCATCTAGGCTGGACAACATTTTGGGTTTGTGACTTTAGGGAAAGTCATCATTCAGGGTAAGCCACACAAGTCCTCTGGCCAACAGGCTCAGTTTCACTTTCCTCAGATGGTCAGCTGAGGCTAAATACAACTGTCACTCACCCAGTTTTTTTTTTTTTTTTTTTTTCTTTTTCCGTGTCCGGCAACGGATCGCAACCCTCGGTGTTGCCCCCGTACCGGACTGGGGACCAGCAACGGGATTGCAACCCTCGGTGTTGCCCCCGTACCGGACTGGGGACCAGCAACGGGATTGCAACCCTCGGTGTTGCCCCCGTACCGGACTGGGGACCAGCAACGGGATTGCAACCCTCGGTGTTGCCCCCGCGCCTCGCGCAGCCAGTGAGCGGGAACCGGTCTGTATGTGGGATCCGAACCCTCGGGCGGGAGCGCCGCCGCGCTTCCCAAGCGGTGCACTTATCCAGTGCGCCACCGGGCCGGCCCACTCACCCAGTTTTTATCAGCTAAAATGTAAGTCTCCACAACCCTAGACTGTATGGCCATCCCTGTTGTTCTGTGCCTCCAGGACAGCTCTCTGTGTTCTTCTACTTCCCAAACCTTTCCATTAAGCCCTCTGGACCTGCTCTGCTCCATAACCAGCAAATGCTTTTGTATCCCATATACAAGCCTTCTTGTCACTTCCTTAAAGCTGGTTTTCTTCTGCTGACATTACTTTCCTTTCAACCCTCTGAAATTAAGGTTTTCTTACAAAAACAAAAACAAAACAAAAAAACTGGGCTGACAGGTGGGGTTCTACCTCTTTGCTCTCCATTTATGCTTCCAGATTATTCCTTTTAAAAAGCCAAATCTTTTGAGGCTCATGCTATCTGGGAGGCCATGTTTATTCCTCACTTCTCATGAGCTCCTACTTGCTCTTTCTTATTCACCCACAACTTTGGCATTTGATCTGCCCTAAGCCCTGCCATCATCCTATACTTCAACATCTACATGGATAAAACATCCATTCCCCTCATCTCTCAGCTCCTTGACCTCTCCTCCTCCACTCCATGTCAAGTATCACTCTCAAGATCGTATTTCAAATCTTGACATCACAAATATCTGCTGTTCTTCCAAAACTACTAATTTAAGATTTTATACTTTCCTACCACAACTTTCTCTTCTTCTCTTTGGTTTACACCTACTGCAAAAGTTCTTCAACTTTATCAAGATCTCCAAAATTAATCCCCTACTTCATCAGTCCTCCTTTCTTTATGGCACACTTTATCCAACTTAAATTCATGGTCCATCACTTCCTTCTTTCCTTTATATTCCTTTCCTCTCTCCTCCTTTCTATTCATTCATTAAATATTTATTGAGCATCCATTATATGCCAGGCACTGCTCTAAGCAACCGAAGTACACTGGTAAACAAGATAACATCCCTGGCCCCATGGAGCCTATATTCTTGGGGGAGAAGATAGACAATAAAAAAATGAATAAATTAAAAAGGTAACTTCAGGGTGTGATAAATGCTATATCCATGAAACATAAATGGTGTCAAATGACAGAGTAATAGGAGAATAGAAAGGGATGAGATTCAGTGGCCAAAAAAGGCTCCTCTAACTGGGTATAGGACCCGAGGTGGAAGCTTGTTATCTTTCCAAAAAAAAAGAAACCCAGTATGGCTGGAGAGCAGTAAATGAGGGGAAGAGTGGTACTAGATGAAAGCTGAGAAGTAGCCATTCCGTGGACAGGAGTTTGAAAGAATTAAGAAGCCACTGTAAGCCCAAAAGGATTATGCTCTGAATAAGAATTTAAATTACCCTTTCAGCAATATTATCTATCTTATTTTGAGCTTGTTTAGTAAAGCTCCAGTCATGGGTAATTCCAGCTAACTACCAGAAAAGGTGATGTGAAGGGCAGATTGATTCTACCTTAAACTCATGATCAGCATCCTGAAATGGCCTCAGCACTGCTAGGAAATCCTACTGTTTTCTTGGTTTTTCACTACTGCCAGTCCTAGTCTCCTCAAATTGCCTGCCCCATTCCTCATTATCACTTTTAGCAAATGACTTGAAATTCTCCTTCAGAGAAGAGAGGACATCAGAAAGTAATGCCCTTATCATCCCTGCATAACCCAGGCCTGCATACTCCTTTTGGAGCAGAATGACTGACTGCTCCTCTTTTTATCTAAGCCTAATAATCTGTTATCCTAGGCTTTGGATCACATCTCCTCCTGGCTTCTTAGGAAATTTATATTATCCTTCTCTCTTGAATATTTAATTTCATCCTCTTAACTGGAGTCTTCCAATCATTTTTAAAACATATCTAAGTCTTTCCTACTAAAAGTAAAATAAAACAAAATAAAAATAATAAGACTCTCCCTGCACTCTCATATAAACTTCTACCTCAAAGTATTATTTGGTGCTGGTTCACAAACTGATATTGGCATACTATGAGATAAGTATTGAAGTTCTCAGTAAGAACTGAGAAACTTTTACAGAAATTTGACAGATTAATCTTATGTCTGTTAAATCTACTAACACAATGTTTGGACTGATATTTTATATATTATTTAAAATTTTAATTTTCTAATAACATTTTTATTGTATATTATAAAATTATTAATTCATAATGAATTGGAAATTCAAAGACTTTCACCACAGATGGTTTGGGAAGCACTACTCTTGTTAAATGTCTGCACTCCTTCTTCACAGAAAAACTTCTCGAAGAGCTGTTTATACTTGTGTTCTTTACTACCTCATATCTCATTTATTCCTCAACCCACTCCAATCTGAATTATGCTCCCATGATTGGACAGAAACAAGTTACCCCGTGAATTATACACCACCCCCCTTCATATGTTGAAGTCCTAACCACCCAGTATCAGAAACTGTGACGTTTGGTAATTAAGGTTAAATGAAGTTATTAGAGTAGGCCTTAATGCAATGTGACCTGTGTCCTATGAGAAGAAATGTGGACACAGACACCAGACACATGCACATGCAGAGGGACAATCATGTGAAGACAGAGAAAAGGTAGCTATCTGCAAGCCAAGGTGAGAGGCCTCAGAAGAAACCAGACCTGCTGACAACTTGCTCTTGCACTTCTAGCCTCCAGAACTGTGAGAAAATAAATCTTTATTATTTAATCCATCCAGTCTGTGATATTTTGTTATGGCTGCCCTAGCGACCGAATACACCATGTCACAATGAAGATATTTTCTAGTTCTCATCTTGGTTGATCTCTCTTAGTAGTATTTAGTATTTTGACCATTCCCTTCCCTTCTTAAGACATTCTCTTCCCTTGGCTTCCAAGACACTAAAAACCTTATTGGTCTTCTTCCTTCTTCTTTAGCTGATCCTTCCCTGTCTCCTTTGAAGGCTTATCTTTTCCTACCAGCTATTAAATAATAAGATTGGTTCCAGGCCATCTTGTCATTTTTGTCTAGGTTATCTCCCTCAGGTGACCTACTTCATATGTATGGCTCACATGTATATATCCAGCTCCAGATGTGACATCTCCTTAGTCCAAAACTGATATATGATCTTCCCCACCAAATCCTATTCTTTGTTAGCATTCCCCTTCTTAATGTAGGGTATCACCACGCATCTATTTTTATAAAGCAAAAGACTAAGTCAACCTTCTCCATCATCATCTCCCATATATAATCTATCATCAAGTCCTTGTCAATTTTACTGTTCGCATTCCTCTTAATTCATTCACTTTTCTCCACTGCCATCTTCCTAGTCCAAATTACCTTCAATTCCCGTGAACTACTGTATCTCCTTATCAAGGCTATCTCTATACCCTCCCTTGCTCCTCTCCAATCCATTCTCATCCACTGAAGCCATCTTTCTGAAACACAAATCCAATCATGTCATTACCCTGCTTGAAAACACTTCCATAACTTCCCACTGTTCTTACAATAAAATTAATGAAAGAGTCATGCATAGTCAGACACCACTGGACTTACTTCTCTGGTCACATCTCATACTCTTGTTTCAGTGCTCCAGCCACTTTCATTTCTTTGTGGTATCAAAACCTGCCAAAAGAGCCATGCATAGGGACACTCTTCCTCACAAAATCCATCCCTATAAACCCTGTCTTTCTTCAGATACCAGCTCTATTGTCAGTTTCTTAGGAAGGTTTTCTCGGATCTTGATTGGTAAAAAAAAAAAAAAACCCTCTTATTACATGAGCCCATAGGACCATGTAACTCTCCTTTCTTCATTCATACATACATAGTTGTAATTCTACATGTATTTGTGTGATTATCTGATTTCCCTTACTACAATGTAAGCTCTACCAAAGGGCAGGAACTTACCCAATGCTGAGCAAAGGGCCTGAAATGGTAGTTGACCAATAAAAATTTGTTGAATGAAAGAAAGAATGAATAAAGACTTCTTATATACCAATTTTTAAAAGATAAACATAAGATTAACAAAGAATTAAAAAGGCAACTTAAAAATAACCAATAAACAAGTGTTCAACGTCACCAGTGGTCAAAGAAATGTAAATATAAAATAAAATAGTATTTCCACAGCCATTAAATAGACAAAAATGATAATACCTAGGCTTTATGAATATAGGCATTCTCATGATAAACTGATAGGGGGAATATAAGTTGGTACCACCTCATCCTGATGGCAATATCTATGAAAAACCTTAAAACTTTGCAAGTCTTTTAAAATTTACTTTTAGGAAATTATCACGTATGTACAAAGATTTAGGTATAAGGGTAATTAAAAAAAAAAAAGAATACAAGGCAAATGTCCAAAAACGAGAGACTGGTTAAATAAAGTATGTGATAAACCTATCTTAAAGTAGCTATTAAAATTATTCTGTAGAACATTTCTTTAATAACAAGGTAAGTTATACATGAATAAAGTTAGGAATAAAGTAGGTTTGAATACAATCCCATTTTTTGCTTAAATAACAAGAATTAAAATACACATATAAACTTACTCAGGTTTCCCACAAGAAAAAATACTGGGAAACAAATGCACCAAAATATTGTGGTTATTAATAGTGGTGTTTTCTTTTTTTTTTTTTTGTCTTTTGTCTTTTTCCGTGTCCGGCAACGGATTGCAACCCTCAGTGTTGCCCCCGTACCGGACCGGGGACCGGCAACAGGATCGCAAGCCTCGGCGTTGCTCCCGCGCCTCGCTCAGCCAGTGAGCGGGAACCGGTCTGTATATGGGATCCGAACCCTCGGACGGGAGCCCTCGGACGGGAGCGCCGCCGCGCTTCCCAAGCGGCGCACTATCCAGTGCGCCACTGGGCCGGCCCCAATAGTGGTGTTTTCTTTTTGCTTATTTGCTTTCTAAACATTCTATGAAGAATGTATTTTACTCTTATAATATGAAAAAATATATAAAAAGAAAAAAAGAGTAGTTTGATAATCTTTGGGGAGAAAAGATCTACTTCCATTGCAGTATAACCAATCAAGTAGTTCTCAACCTAGACTGCTGCCTAGATGACTTTCAAATGTGAGGGCCCCATCCTCAAATTCATCTGGGTATAACACTATAACATTATTATTTTAATTTGAGACTTTCTTTCTTGGGATGCTTTTACCAATTTCTAAGACAAAAGATTTGATATACTTAAGTATTTTAAAGCTATAAAATAAAAGAAGAGACTAGAAAAAAAAGTTTGATTAATCACCTGGTTTCATGCTGGCATTAATAGGTCTGGCAGCTGCTGCGGCCATCTGCTCCCGTCGAGGATCTTGGTAACTCATTTTACTAATGAATTCAATTGCTGCTTCTATACTTCTATTATTAGTTTTCTGAAGAGCTTGTATAACCATATCCTGATATAAAATTTAAAAAAACAAAAAACAAAATTTAAACCTTCTAATTAATAAGAGGGAAACAGCACTATGAGTTCTTCTACACAAATTCATAATTACAAAGAATAGGGCCCCAAACCATAATATTAATGTCCTGTTTATGACTACTAAAAAAGCCCATACAATCTCAAATTATTAAGGAAAACAAACCCTCAAATCTTCCAAATGTTTCTTTGATATTTTCACCTTTACATAATGTATTATTGTTTCCTTCTAGGATTAACTTCTTTGGGGTACAATCATAACAACATGATTCTGATTATTTCTCATTCTTAATGTCATTCCTCTATAAACAAATAAAAACTATCAGATTGTTAAAAAAGTATCAATCAAAATATTGGAAATTACTGTACTTTACTAGTAAAACAACAATTGAGTTCTGGTTCTTATCTTCTTAGAGATTACATTTTCAGGGAATTATATTTACAAGGATATAAATATAGGACAAATGGTAGAAGAAAATACTTAGACTATATATGAATGATTATGTGATGAAGATTTAAGGAGGCTAGATAGTATGATGAAAAAAACAGAGGACTTGGAATCAAACAGATCTGAATTTGAGTTCCAGCAGCTCCACTTTAGAATTGTGTGACCTGGGCTGATCGGTTAGCTAAGTTGGTTAGAGTGTATAACACCAAGGTCCCGGGTTTGGATACCTATACCGGCCAGGCAAAAAAAAAAAAAAAAAAAAAAAAAATTGTGCGACTTTTGGAAAGTTAGTTAACATTTCAGAGCCTCAGTTTCTTCAACTGTAATAAGCTCAGAGAGTTGATGTGAGGATTAAATAAGAAAACATGTAAAGCACATTAACACAGTGCCTGTAGTGCTCAAATGCTGGTTGTCCTCCTCAATTCTTTGTCCTTTACGTTATATGTAAGCATAAATTATACACTATCATGCAGAAAGCACAATGACATGCATATGAGGGAGAAAACTACTTACTTGTCCTAGAGAATTTAATATTTCAAATGATAGTTTAAAATGAGAAATGGCTTAGTAAGACTAATGTGTGAACAGGCCCCTGAAAGATGACCCTCCGACATAAAATGACTAGAAATGAATGTGAGAACAACCAAAGAAAGGCTGTGGTAGAAATTTGTTGCCTACCCAAGATCCATTCTCCCTTTCTTGTAAAAAGTTACTAATTTTGTTGGAAGAAGCAAGCTTTTCTGGAAAACTTTTGCTATTCCTGACTTAGGTACTGGTCCTTCCTATATCCTGTTTCCTAGGTAAGAGATATGATATTTGTGCTAGAGTACTTTGCCATCAAGAAGTAAGATTCAAGAGACTCATAAGAGTCCTATGTTTGACATCTTTAAGAGGTTGAGCTAATGCTAACTGTATAAAGTGAATCACTGTCTTGTTTAAAACATTATTTGAAAAAAATATTTTTGGATTTTTGTTAAAAGCAATCAAACTCAACGCATAACTGATACAAGGATACAACATGATCACATTTAATGCCAATCAGACATCGCAAACTTGTAGTGAGATACAAAGAGATTACTGAGCCTTACTTTATGTTCAAACTTAAATACAAATTGTCCAAAATTAAAATTCATCAGAGAGTGCTTAATTTTAAAACTGGATTAGCCAAGTGAATTGTAATTGTATTTATGCTATTATCACATGGCACTGTTACTTCAGTTGGTGAGAAAATCGGCACCCACTATTCTTGTTCGATATGTGGGAATCATATTCTTATTAAATGCATTGAAATTTCAGCCTGTGATTATTGTGCTGGCTTTTATTTTTTAATATTTATTGCTATGTTTTAAAATAGTTTTTACTTCTGTAATAACATCAACCAACTGTTCATTAAGTGGAGGTGTTACTGCCAGTGTGAAAAAGAGCACCCTCAAATCAGTAACTTTGGAAAAGAGGTCTTATTGTGATAAGAAAACATTATGACCACATTATTATGCTTTTGTTTTTCATGCTTCTGAGCAAAAAATACACTCCAGTGATTGTACATCTATGTGCTCCAAGAATGCATCAAACCTATTTAACATTTATTCCTATGAGAAAATTAATCTTGAAATATTTGAACTTTTAATTTTACAGAGTCACAAGGAACATATTCTTAAAACAAAAACATGCAACTGTCCTGAACTTGGCATAGCTAATAAAAGGAATAGGTCAGGGTTTATAAAATGATAAAAAAGTACAAAGTGAAAACTGGGTAAGAATTCTGAAATACCAAGTTAGGATCTTGAACAATATAAATTCTACAATATAATGGGAAGCTACCAGACTGAGTGATTCACGAAGGTAGAAGAAGTAGACTGCCATATTCTCTATAGCATCACTGGTATCAATAATACCATTCATTATGTGGACAAATGAACAGTAAATGTCTAAATGCTTTCAGTAAAGCAACCTTGCTTAAAGGGTGATTAATGTCATAAAGTGACAATTTTGAAATGTGTAATTGTAATAAAGCAAACATATCTTTGTAATGCAAAGCAATTATTGTTATTACTGCCAATAGATAAAGAATAGAGCACTGACCAATACCTTAGATTTCTTAAAACTGCCTACATTAGAAAGAACTTTTTTTTTTTTTTTTTTTGTCTTTTTGTCTTTTTCCGTGTCCGGCAACGGATCGCAACCCTCAGTGTTGCCCCCGTACCGGACTGGGGACCGGCAACGGGATTGCAACCCTCGGTGTTGCTCCCGCGCCTCACTCAGCCAGTGAGCGGGAACTGGTCTGTATGTGGGATCCGAACCCACGGGCGGGAGCACCGCCGCGCTTCCCAAGCGGCGCACTTATCCAGTGCGCCACCGGGCCGGCCCCTAGAAAGAACTTTTAAGTCCCTTAAAGGTATGGGCCACATCTGATATGCCTCACTATCCTGACCAATGGGTTCACACATAGTAAGAGCTCCACAGATACATATCTACTGGGTGACTTACCTGACATAACACATTACCTCTTCAGGGACTTTATAGCTATTTGATTTTATAAGGTCTCTTTCTTTAGCAATATATAAAAGGAAAGAATAAGATTAATGATTATGTTTATACTTTGCCTTTTTGCTAAGGGATTAGAAAGAAATTGCTCTGCAGAATCTCCACTCAAGCTATTTCCTTAATCCTCCAACTACTAATTAGAAAAATATTATCCCAGGTCCTTTTCTCCTCCTTTCTCTATTTTCTGGTGTAAATCCAATATTTTTAGAACACTTAAGTATAAAAATTATAGGAAATAATATGAAGCAAACAGGCAAATGGAATGGGCCAGAAAGAATAACTTTTTTTCCTCCTAGTGTAGTTGTAAATCTCTTTTCAAATCCTTTACTATAATGCATACTCAGGTTCTCATTCTTAAAATTAAACACAGTTGATCTTCAAACAACATTTGTTTGAACCACGTGGGTCCACATATATGTGGATTTTTTTCAATAAATATACAGAAAATTTTTTTGGAGATTTGTGATAATTGGAAAAAACTTGCAGATGAACATTGTAGCCTAGAAATATTGAAAAAATTTTTAAAAATTAGGTATATCATGAATGCATAAAATATATGTAGATTTACCAGCCAGCAAAAAAAACCCCCAAAATATAGATATATCTATATGTAGATACTAGTCTATTTTATCATTTACTCCCATAAAATATACACAAATCTATTACAAAAAATTAAAATTTGTCAAAACTTACAGACATACTTACAGACCATACATTGTGCCATTCACATGGAGAGAAATGTAAACAAACATAAAGATGCAATGTTAAAACATAACTGCATAAAATTACCTGTAATACATACTGTACTACTGCAATAATTTTGTAGCCACCTCCTATTGTTATTGAGGTGAGTTCAAGTGTTACAAGTATCCACACTTAAAATGCCCTGTGATGCTAATCATCTCTACATGAGCAGTTTGTCTCTCCCGGAAACTGTGTATCTCAGTAAAAAGTGATCTCTTGTGTTTTTCATGTATTTTTCATCATGTTTAGTCAATACCATAAACCTTGAATAACACCATGAGACCCATATGAAATGTCACTAGCGATGCTGGCAGTGGTCCCAATAAGCAGAGAAAAGTCATGCCATTACAAGAAAATGTTGAATTGCTTGATATGTACCATAGATTGAGGTCTGCAGCTGCAGTTACTCACCTTTTCAAGATAAACAAATCCAGCATTAAAGACCAAAAAAAAAAAAAAAAAAAAAAGAAAAGGAAATTCATGAAGCCACCACTGCAGCTACCCCAGCAGGCATGAAAACCTTGCACTTTTTATGAAATACATTTTTATCTCATGTTGAAAATATAGCTTTTACGTGGGTGAAGGATTACTATAAGAAAGGCATAAGGGCCGGCCCGTGGCTCACTCAGTAGAGTGCGGTGCTGATAACACCAAGGCCGCGGGTTCGGATCCTATATAGGGATGGCTGGTTTGCTCACTGGCTGAGCGTGGTGCTGACAACACCAAGCCAAGGGTTGAGATCCCCTTACCGGTCATCTTTTTTTTTAAAAAAAAAAGAAAGGCATAATACCTAGGCAGTCTAATATGGTTTGAGAAAAAATGAAGTCATCATATAATGACTTAAAGCAAAAGGATGGTGAAGGATCTAAAGCTGGAGAGTTTAGTACCATCAAAGAATGGTTTGATAATTTTAGAAAGAAGTTTGGCTTTAAAAATCCTAAGATAACAAGAGAAGCAGCTTCTGCCAACTAAGAGGCTGCAGACAAGTTCCCAGACACCATTAAGAAAATCACTGAGGAGAAAAGATATTTGCCTGAAAAGGTTTTTAGTGCAGACAAGTATCCTAATCTAGAAACAAATGCCACAAAAGACATTTATTAGTAAGGAAGAGAAGCACGCACCAGGATTTAAGGGAGGAAGGGATAAGCTAACTCTACTGTTTTGTACAAATGCAGTCGGGTTTATGATCAGGACTGCTCTTATCTATAAAGCAGCTAACCCCTGGACCTTGAAGGGAAAATATAATCACCAGTGCCAGTCTTCTGGTTGTACAACAAGAAGGCCCAGACAAAGAGGACCCTTTTTCTGAACTGGTTCCATCAATGCTTTATCCCTGAAGTCAGGCAGGATCTTGCCAGTAAGGAACAGCCTTTTAAAGTTCTTTTGATTGTGGATAATGCCCCTATCCACCCAGAACCCTGTGAGTTTAACTCTGGTCTACTTGCCCCCAAACACATCTCTAATTCAGCCTCTAGATCAGGGAGTCAAGAGGACCTTTAAGGCTCATTACACAGGGTACTCTGTGGAAAGGACTGTCAATGCTATGGAAGAGAACCATGACAGAGAGAACATCATGAAAGTCTGGGAGGATTACATCATTGAAGATGCCACTGTTGATGTAGAAAAAGCCATGAAAGCCATCAAGCCCAAAACAATAAATTCCTGCTGGAGAAAACTGTCCAGATGTTGTGCATAACTTCACAGGATTTACAACAGAGTCAATCAAGGAAATCATGAAAAAGATTGTGGGTATGACAAAAAAAGGTGGGGGGTGAGGGGCTTCAACATATAGATCTTGGAGAAATTCAAGACACCACCACATCAGAGGAATTAACAGAAGACAACTTAGTGGAGATAAGTGTCATAATGAGGAAGAGTATGCAGAAGAAGCAGTGCCAGAAAACAAATTGACATTAGACAATCTGGCAAAAGGGTTCCAATTATTCAATTCTGTTTTTGACTTCTTTTATGACATAGACCCTTCTATGATATGAGCACTGACACTAAAGCAAATGGTGGAATGAGGATTGGTACCATATAGAAACATTTTTAGAGAAATAAAAAGCAAAAAAGCCAGACAGAAATTACTACCTATTTCCATAAAGTTAAAACGAATGTGCCTGCCCTCTCCTGCCTCCCATTCACCTCCTCAATCTCTTCTGTCTCTGCCACTCCTGAGACAGCAAGACCAACTCCTCCCCTTCCCCTCCTCTCCAGCCTACTCCACATGAAGATGAGAATGGAGACCTTTATTATGATCTACTTCCACTTAAATATATTTTCTCTTCCTTAGAATTTTCTTAATAACATTTTCTGTTCTCTAGCTTATGTTATTATTATGAGAACACAGTATATAATACATATAACATACAAAATACATGTTAATAAACTGTTTATGTTATTGGTAAGGCTTCCAGTCAACAGTAGGCTATTAGTAAAAGTTTTCGGGGAGTCAGAAGTTATATGTGAATTTCAACTGTTCAGTGGGGGTAGGATGTGTGGGGGAGGGGGCCGGCACCTCTAACTCCTGCATTGTTCAAGAGCCAACTGTATAGAGATAGCTGGAAATGTGGTCACCACAATATTAAAAATAGTGAAGGAATTTTATGGGTACTTATCTTTGTGTAGTGGAGCCAACGGTAATTTTCAGTTTCTTCTTTATATTTTTTTAATATTCAGTAAAGAATAGGTAATGTTTTTGTGATCAGGGAAAAAAGTTACCATAATTTTGAAAAAAAAAAAAAAAAAGTAATTAACTCTGGACTATTCATATTTTGTTATTGTGTTTTAACATTTTCCAGAGCCAATTTTTATCTAAAATGATTTCTGTCACCTAAAATACTCATATTAATATGGTATACTATCTTAAATAGCAACTCTTATTAATAACCTAAACCAAATATGACTAAATATATGTGCTATGGAAAATTTCAAAATGAGTTCTTAAGGTCAGACTTAAGACTTGCCATAGTTAGCCTAAACTGAAATTCCATTAGTTCTTGTGAATTTAAGATTTGGGCCTGAGAGTGACGTGAACAAACTGCTTAATCAAATCCATGATTATAATTCTTTCTCCCTACTATAAACTTAAACTTCATATCCTTGGAGCTATCACTTCTCAAATAGCCACTTAGCCCACCAAGTTCACATTTCACACAAACAAATGTCCTTCCCCTACCCTCATCTATGGCTTTCTTCAACTGCACTTCCACTCTGACTTCATGAGCTGGCTTTTCAAATTATAGAAACTCCAGAATTTAGTGATAGCTATCACAGAAGAAACTAAAGAAATAACAATTATTTTGTTATAACAATTAATGGAATTGTAAACATAACATTCTTTGCTAATAGAATACACAGATTTGTATATATGGTTAAAGTCTTCAAAAGAAACATTTTGGCATGAGGTCACCTAAGTAGCATAAGGTAAGAAGAAACATTTCTTTTGTCTTTAAAAATTCTTACCTCATCAAATCCAGCAGCCTGCAAGTCTTGAAGCATCTGTGGATTAACTTCTGAAGTACTCCGAGAGGAATTACTGGTTTCGTTTGCAAATGGTAGTAGAGAGTTCCGGATTTCCTGCAAGGCTTTATGATGCGTCCCAAATTTGGGTGGATTTCTGACTTGTCGAGGATCTTCAGCTGACATTTTGTTCATGTTATGCTCAGCCTTAGCAGCATCAGATGGTTTGGATAAATTCCTAAGGGATTCCCGAATTTCTTGCAGCATTTGCCGGCTGCTGCCAGTGTAGTTACTGGCAGGAAAGGTCTTAGGCCTCATTTGTCTATATCCTTCTGGCTTTTCACTCCTCTTCATGAAAACGTCTATATATGTAACCCACACAAAGGACTTCTTTAAAAGCTACTTGATAGATTCAGAACTTTCCTCTTGAGCAAAAGTAAAAATCATCCTTTGAGCAAGTCCCCAGGAATGTTACAATTCTTTAAATCTAAATAATTAATCCTATAAAAGAAAAAAAAAACAAAAGCTATAAAGTGATAATGAAGCAGTACCATGTTACTGGCATTAGGGGAAAAGACCACTAAAATAGGAGTTAACAGATCCTGGCTACAGTTCTGGCTCCTTAAGGATTACGAGGATCAGAACAAGTTCCTTAACGTCTCTATGCCTATTTCGTAGTCTATAAAATTAATTTACCTTATTTACCTCAAATAGTAGTTATGTGGTAAAAAAATTTTTTTAGGGGCCGGCCCGGTGGCGCACTGGATAGTGCGCCGCTTGGGAAGCGCGGCGGCGCTCCCGTCTGAGGGTTCGGATCCCACGTACAGACCGGCTCCCGCTCACTGGCTGAGCGAGGCGCGGGAGCAACACCGAGGCTTGCGATCCCGTTGCCGGTCCCCGGTCCGGTACGGGGGCAACACTGAGGGTTGCGATCCGTTGCCGGACACGGAAAAAAAAAAAAAAAAAAAAAAAAAAAAAAAAAAAAAAAAAAAAATTTTTTTTAAAGAATGCTTTAGTAAGCATATAAAGCAAATACAAATACAAGGGATAACTGAGTAAACAATACCTCAGGGAACTTCCCATTATCAACTTCACCTAGCAGCTCCAATTTTATTTAGATTTTGCAAATTAGACTTCAGTATAAAATTTCTATCGAAAAAAGAGTATTTGTTGCTTGGGTCTATTTCCCAAACTATAGACCAGGACTCTAGAGATAGTAAGTTTATCAAAAATGGCTTAGGGACAGGATCTCTGAGGTAAATTTGTCTTACAAATTGCATGAATGTCTTCTACAACATACTGGAAGAATAGTCATCTAAAGCCTACTTAAATGTCTGCAGTGATAGGGAAATAGCTAACTCAAGAAAGCCATTCCATTTGTGATCCACAATTACTGTTAGGAATGCTTTCTTCATGCTGGAGCATCATGAAATCTCACTCAGTGACTACTGAGAGGCAGTAATGGGCCAGTGCTAGACGATTTTCCCTACCTTCTTGTCTAGACCTCCTAAAAGCTCTGAAGTAGGTTTGTAAATGAGGAAATTGAAGTTCAGTTTGGGTAAAATAGTGTGTAAGTGGTACTGCTGGGATTTGAAACATTGCTAATTATCATCTACTGGGAGCCTACTTCTATTCTCATTAAATGTAATTACCACACATATTACATAAAGATGTCTATAGATATATATAGATACCTCCTTGTTATTTAGGTCTCATCTCCATGTTACCTCCTCAAAGAGCCTTTCCCTAGTCACGTATTTACTCTGTTTTACTTTTTAATAGTACTAATCACTACCTAAAATTATCTTACTTAGGTCAATAAGATAATTTTTCTCAGCTCGGTAAATTTTTGGTCAGCTCAGTTGATTAGAAGCATGGGGTTGAGGGCCAGCCCGTGGCTCACTTGGGAGAGTGTGGTGCTGATAACACCAAGGCCCCGGGTTCGGATTCCATATAGGGATGGCCGGTTCGCTCACTGGGTGAGCGTGGTGCTGACAACACCAAGTCAAGGGTTGAGATCCCCTTACCGGTCATCTTTTTAAAAAAAAAAAAAAAAAAAAAAAAAGAAGAAGCATGGGGTTGATAGCACCAAGGTCCAGGATTCGATCGCTGTACCAACCAGCCACCAAATTTAAAAATAAATAAATAAATAAAAATATAAAAAGAGCTTACTTGTTTACTTGTTAATTGACCACTTCCCCTAATTTCCCCTGAAATAAATAGTAAGCTCCATGAGAACAGAGGACCTGTCTGTTTTGTAACCACTGTCTATCCACTACATATAACAGAGCCTGGCACATAGCTTAATAAATATGTATATTGAACAAATGAAATAAACATTGCCTCCTAAACATCCTCGGTTCCTTTAACTGTTCTCTAATGCTAGTTATGCTCTTCTGGACACACACTAATTGGTCAAAATCCTACAGGTGCTAAAAAAGCATAGCACTTATAATAGAAAACAGAAAAATAACAACAAAAAATAGGATTCAAGTGGCTTGCTCATTAGCTCAGTTGGTTAGGACATGGTGTTGATAACACCCAAGTCAAGGGTTTGGATCCCTGTACCAGCCAGCCTCCCCCCACAAAAGTAAAAAATAAAATAAAATAAACAAACAAAAAAAGGATTCAAGTACTTGTCCTGTTAATTATTAGCAATGTGGAACTGGGCATTTAATTCTCTGAAACTGACTCTTGACACATAAAGTGCTTGGAATGATGTCTACCTTATAGACTGAACAAAGATTAAGAGGAACAATGCAATGCAACTAAAGGAATATACACACTAGTGTGTAAAGATATAGGATGTTCCCTGCTACATCCTTTATAATGGCAAAAGATGACATCACTGTAGATGTTCATCAGTGGAAGATTGTTCAAGTAACTCATAGCACATCTATATAACATGTGACTAAGTTAAAAGGAATGATGTCGTACTACCTAAATGTACTGACATGAACAGACACCAATAGTGCACTCTTAAGCAAAAGAGCAAGTTTCAAAACACTATGTATAAAATAAACCCATTTTCTGTTCAAATTAGGTTAATTTGGTGATGGTTGTACAACTCTGTAAATAAGCTAAAACCTACTGAATTGTGCACTTTAAATGGGTAAACTTTATGGTATGTAAATTATATCTTAATAGCTGTTAAAAATAAACCCATTTTTATTTTCTAAAATTTATACTTATGGAAATTAATTATATACATACATACACGCATATATGCAACAGGCCTGAGACAGAATGAAACCCTGTAGGAGACCATTAGAGGTGGTTACAAGTGCTAAATTAATGATGAATTGATCACACAAGAAGCCCACATATCTCCATTTTGTTTAAAAAAAAAAAACAAAAAAAAAACCCCCTTTTTACTGTCTCACTGAAAATTACAAATACTCTGTCTACAACATAACCCAGTCTACTGATAATTATTTCATAAATGAAATTAGGACTGACATATCTTGTGCTTTTAGAAGGAAGCTGGTCCCTAATGATAAGCATTATCTTCTCTATGCCTTCCTAAAATATTTACTTAATAGCTTACTAATGAATTTTCTAGGCTTAACAGTTTGCTCACCAGCCTAAAGTTTGCAGAATTCACCTCTGGCCCTTCCTGAAAGTGAAGACATTTTCCATATCTGGTCTTCTGGATGTACCATTTCTTCACGATCAAAGATTAACAACAGTGGTTGTGTACTGTAATCTCATATGTCAGTTGTCTCAGTATTTGGATTGCAATTTATTTATAGCATCTAGGCATTCTTTTAACTCCTCACTTATTTTGAGCTTCAACTCCAAATTAACTATCATTTTATTATTATTTTAGTATTTCCAAGATCATTCTCCTTATTAGAGAAAAATAAAAAAAGTATATTTTTGCTTCTCCCTGATAAAGCATGTGCTTCCATTCCCCTAACATGGGAACTGGTCAACACTAGGCACTGCAAAAATATTTGTTGAACTAATAAATGCAAGTGACTTATCCCTTCTTTTTACTCTTAAGAAAACAGTTTTATTGGTTTTTTTTTTTTCAAATTATAAAAAGATACATCCTTATTGAAAAATTCAAATATTATATAAAGTAGAAGTCCCTCATAATTCACCTCCCTCAACAGAGAGAATCACTGTAGTGGGCTGAACAATGGCATCCAAAAGATCCACCTCCTCAGCCAGCTGGTCAGCTCACTCAGTCAGAGGTCACTCAGAGCATGGTGGTGATGCTGCTAACACCAAGGTCAAGGGCTCAGATCCCTTGGCCAGCTGCAGGAGGGGTGGGGTAGGGGAGATATCCATCTCCTAATCCCTGGAATTTGTAAATGTTATCTCATTTGGAAAATGAGACTTTGCAGATGTAATTAAGTTAAGGATTTTGAGATGGAGAGATTATCATGGATCATTCGGGTGAACCTTAAAGGCAATTGTGAATATCCTTATGAGAGGCAGAGGAAGATATGATACACATAGAAGGGTATGCAATGTGATGATGGACGCAGAGACTGGAGTGATGTGGCCAGAAACCAAGGAGTGCCAGCAGGTAACAGAAGCTGGGAGTGGCAAGAAATATTTTCTCTTCTAGAGCCTCCGGAGGGACAGCAGCCTTGAAAGCAAATTGATTTTGGACTTCTGGCCTTCAGAACTGTGAGAGGACAAATTTATGTTGTTTTAAGCTACCAAGTTTGTAATGATTTGTTATGTAAGCCACAGGAAAGACAATCACTATTAATTCTGTATATTCTAACATATACTACTATTAACCAAAATGAGATAACTACACAAAATATGACATCTCATTCTTTTAAAAATCATGTGAACTTACAAGAAGAGAATATAGAGTGGCCCAAATTTATCTGATTTAACTTTTTTCCCCAGAGCATTTCATGAGATTCATGTTCTGTAGAATATACTTTAGAAAATGCTGGACCAGAGAGATTCATTCTAGCCCTCTATTCTATAACTTTGTACTTTGATAATGTAATTTCTAACACTGCTAACATCTGAGTGCACAATGGTTGAGAATGGTTGAATTCTGGTATGTGTGTAATGTGTTTTAGGTTTAAATAATGTTTTAGGTTAAATAAACTTATTTAAGCCAACCTCTTTTATCTACATGTTGAAATATTTGTGAATAAAATATGATGACTGGGGGCCGAGCCTGTGGCGCACTTGGGAGAGTGTGGTGCTGGGAGCGCAGTGGCGCTACCGCCGCGGGTTCGGATCCTGTGTGGGGATGACCGGTACGCTCACAGCGCTCGCTGGCTGAGTGCGGTGCAGCCAGTCTCAAAAAGGACAAAAAAAAAAATAAAAAATAAAAAAAATATGATGACTGGAATTTAATTCAAAAAAACTTGGTTCTGTGCTGAAATAGATGGGGATATAGATGGGTCAAAAGTGGCCATAAATTGAAGACTGTTGTAGCTGGGTAATGGGTATGTGAAGGTTCACTGTACTATTTTCGTTACTTTTGTGTATGCTTGAAATTTGCCAAAATAGAAAATTAA